GAGAAAGGGACTTCTCATCTCACATGTGATGTAATTTGTATTTTAAACGCACACACATTCTGTATTGACTATTAAATGGCCATCACATTTCCTCTGCCCACCTCTGCTAAGGCCCTGGGTAAGCTCATGCCCCTCACACCATTCTCATTTCACTGCTGGCCTCAGGACTCCACAAAGCAGGGAAAACAAGCAGTGTCTGGCTACCTCTGCAATGCAAATGTTAGTCTGCAGATCCAGTCCAACAAAGAACTTTTCTGAGCTCTGCAGTAGATCCCTATTTTAGTGTTTCTGACCTGCACTCACAACAAGGGCTAAAACTATTCTTTTAAAAGTGAGTAAAAGAATCTGTGGAAATCTAATACTGCTAGCCACACACCTTACAAATAAAGTTTCCTACTGGCTAGTGGCCCAAAAGAAAGCAATAGTGCAGCACAGGAAATGGAAACTTACATTGTAAATCAAGAGATATTAAGAGTTTCAGGGATTAAGAGAGACTATCGTTTCACTCCTGCCTGCTCTTAAAACCAGTTCCTAGATTACTCCATTCTGGCCCTCCTAACAGAATGGAAGATAAACTGAAGCCTTCCCTTCAAAGTCAGGGCAAGTGGAGGGTATTTCATTCTTTTTACTTTGCTCTTCCTGGCTCTCCATTTACACTAAGAATGTAAAAAAAAAAGCCCTGGCACACCATATTCCAGTTTTACTGCTGCTATTATGGCTGGAAGCAGAGGCAACTGAACAGTTTCACACAAATTTAGGTATTATCCAAGGACACTCACAATTTGCTTACTCTGTGACAGCGCTGTAAAGGGTCTTTCTCACACGATACAAGGCTTCATTTTTGCCTTTGAGACCAAAGAACAACCAAGCCTGGAATACTGAAGAGCCAATCCACCTGAGCAAAATTAACTTTAAAAGGACATGGTATTTTCGAATGATAGGTACAGAACACAGCAAGAAGTACTGCTGCAGAGTATTATACCACACTCTGTACCTGCATTTCTTCAACCCATTTTTCTAAAGGTAGAAACACTGCATGCAACCCATGCATTCCTTGCTTTTGCTTCACAGCCTACTCTAGCTAATACTGCCCATCATTTTTCAACCTCACTGTACAAATACCACTACTGGTATCAGTGATTAATACACTAAACTGCAAAGTGACAGCTGTTGAAAAGTGACTTATAAAGAAAACAATAGCATGCACATCCTGTTTTCCTCTAGACTTCAGTGTAAATCAAATCAAGAAAAGTTGAGGTTCCAGGCTCTTCTGGAAGGAGGATAAAAGAAAAATTTAAGCTTTAGGAAATCCACACAGCAAATAATATGTTCAAGTAGCTTTATTTTCATTTCTCTTGAAGACTGTGAAAAACTACGCAAGCAAGCATATATAACATTGCAAAAGTAGAAGAAACTGGATTAAAGGGGAAGTTTAGGGGGTGGTTTACTCTGCTACACAGCTTCTGGTATTTTGAGAAAATTGATAGTAGAAAACAGACACTCCGAAAAAGGAAAAATTCTGTACATTCAGTTACCCCATAAATTAGTTACTCAGTATTACTATACTAAAGCTTATCTTTAAAGCTAGATAAATTGATGAATAAATTATTCAAATGAATTACAAATTACATGTCATAAGCTTGAAAAACTAAACTCCTCCTCAAAACACAGGGCACACTTCAACTGATTTAGGTGAAACAGTGCAAACATCTGCAGGAAAAGTTCTCTGTAACAAAAGGTATTTCAAGAAGTCTTGAGCCCATCCCTAAAATGCATTTAACTAGGGAGCGAAGGCAGAGTACCTCACATCATACGTGAAGCAAAACCAACCTTTTATGCTCATAAGTAAAATAACCTTAAATGTTAATGTACAAAGACAAACCTAGATCCTGTGCTACAGCTAGCAAGCTATACTGTGTACAAGTGAAAAAAAACCCACAAAACCAAGAGCCTTTCCTCAAAAGCCCTTTTAAGTCAATGGTGTAGACAACCTCATTGAGACTTATGGTGGTCTCACAAGTTTTATCTTCAAATGATCTATGTGACTGCATCCTCTTCCAGGCCAGTGTATCTAGAACAACACCCAGAAGCATATGAAACAACACCAAAAAGAAAACCACCAATCAACCAAAACAGGTTCATGTTAACTTTTCCAAACCTGTTTTGGGGAGACAAATCAAACTTTTACCAAGAGATACCAATCACAGCATGTTCAGAAACCAACAAAGAGAACAAGCCCAAGATAGCTTATTTGTGCTATTAGCGCTTCTATCCAAAAATGAAGACCTAAGGAAGAATGCAATCACCAAAAATCTTCTAAAGCTGCCTCTGCTTGTAAGCTGTCAAAGTCTTGAGGAGGAGGTAAGGGAGAAGCAAAGGAGACCTGCCACCACTTCACCGGCTGTATTTTCCTCTTCAGTCAGGCAACTCCCCTGCATAATTGCTGAAACCATTATTTAACAGCACACACAGTATGTATCAACATAATGTCTTGTTCAACACCTTGTTCTAGCCAAAACCACTGTAACTCAAGTATCTCCCCACCTGTTGATAACTTAGAACTCAGGTACTGGTGATCTTTCTATCAGCTTTCAGGTCCTAGTCTCAATTGGACACTTTGCAGCTGTTCCCACGGACACATTCCCAACTAGCAACTGCTTCCAGAGAAGAGCTTTTCCTCCTACCTTTTAACAGGGAGGGATAAGGGCACTGGGAGACTCATGAGCCTCGGGGGATGAGTCACATATCCCACAAGCATGAGAAGTCTGCTAAAGCCACTATGACCTTCAGGGGAGACCCGAGACTTAGACACCTTTAATTCTGCTGCCTTAATAACAGCCATAAGCCTAAAATGTAACTTAATGGACTGTATCAGTTCGGCAAAGACAGATGAGCTAAAGGAGCAGGTATTGCATCAGATTGGGGAAAAAAGATAAGCAGATTTATTTAAGTGAAATAAAAACCAGAGGTACAGCTGTGAAAGGAGAGTTATTTTGCTTTCAGAAATATCAATTCTGAGACCTAGTCAGACAAGCATATTGCATGTTGATGGGTAGGAAACCCTGCTCCGTGCACATTTCCTTTTCCTTCAGACCTCTCTGGATTTAGTTTCTTCAGTTTAGGAGTGACCAGTCTAGTACCATGGCACTCTCCACAGAAATATTTTATATATACCTTTTCTTTGTAACATTTTCATATTTTTTATCTATAACATTTCCATACAGTTCAGCTAAATTACCACGTTAAAATAAGTAATCTTATCTCATCACGAAGTTCAATCTAAACAGTTCTGCAATCACACTATGAGAGAACAGCTCAGTAAAACACGGATGAAGAAAGAGACAAAAATTGAAGAAAACTAGACAAAGTTTCAGCTAGGTAACAACAGGCACAAATCTCAGACCAGCTGCTCATCTCCCTGGAAATTTTGAGAAAAGGCAGCAGGACTGACCTCACCACTTGCTCTAACTAAAACTGAAACACAACCCCCACTGACAATTAATAATACAAATCGTTAAAAAGTAATAAAAAAAAGCAGCGGACATGAAACTTCCACAGTTTGCTTCTTTCCTCAAATGCAAATAATGGATTTGCATAACTTAAGGCAGAGTCTACCCACAGAGCCATTGCTCCTTCCCCGAGGCCTTCGGGATTTCAAAGAAGCAGCTCCCTTTCGGTACCCTCGCTAGAAGCAATCTTTCATCCGAACCTGCGTGACCGGCAGGCATGGCAAAGCGGTCATGGATTATCCGACCCAAGCAATTCAGCAGAAGCCACGAAATCTACCGTCTAATTTTACTTACGGGTCGCCGTCAGCTCCGCCGGGAGGATCCCCTTGGAGGGGCTGTTCTGCCCGCATGAGCCCACCGTCGCCCAGCCCTGGTCTGCCCACCTCGGAGCACCGAGCCCCGCCGCCCCTTTATCCCCCTATCTCCCCATCCCCTTTCCTGCACTTACCTCCCGCCGGCGCGCCCCCCCCGCCCGCCCGCCGCGACTCACCGCCTGCGGGGGGCCCCAAATCGGCTCCACCCGCCGCCCCGGCCTACCAGCGGAGCTGCTCCGGGAGGCCGGGGAAGGCGGGTGGCTCACACGCCCCGAGCCCACCAGGAGCAGCCGGGGAAAGTCGGGCGGCCCCTTCCCTCCGTCAGTGCCACCCCCCGGAGCCGCCTACCTGTGTGCGGAGGCGCACAGCTGCCCGCTGGACCCTCCCGCGCTCCCCGCTGCTCGAGGGAGGCAACACCCGGCCCCGCATGCGGACCCGAGCAGCGCCTCAGCCTGGCCTGTGCCCCGCTCCCCGGCGCCGGCGGCCCGCCTGCGGCATCAGGCGCATCCAAGAGCCGCCGGGAAAGCGGGGGGCGGCGGCACTTCGGTTTCTGTTGGGCTCATCCCCACCGGGAACCGGCTCCCGGCTACACCGCCGTGTTAAGAGTTTTGCCGTAAAGTTCCCAGGAATCTCTGGGAAAGGTCTGGGACGTCTCATCTCACCAGCTCTCAAAACCGATTAAAATTGTGTTCTCTTCAAAAGAGGCTTGTAGAGGCAGGCTCCATCCCTCTGGAAATACAGTTTAATTCCTTGAGTGCTTTCACCGAGGAACACGCTGATGTACTGAAAGAGTTAGCTCTGCCTTTGAATACGCGGTAATTTACACTGAATAACAATGGCAGCTGCTGCCATCAGCATTCACCTGAAGGAAATTTTAAAACTGGAAGCATGCACACAAACTCTACATGAGGTTAAATCTGGAAGCATTCCTGTCTGAAATGACGCAAAAGCATCTTGGAACGGTTACGGTTGGAAAAGACTCCCGAGATCCGTCGTGTCCAACCGTGGAACGTCTCCCGACAACCGTCACATGTCCTGCGGCAGAGACGCCGGCAAACTCGGGAACAAGCACTTCCAGCGCATCCAGTCCTACGGGTTCAGGCAACGTCCACGAGATCCACTCAGCCTATGCAAGGGTTTACAGAGCTATACTGGATACACAGGGGTGTTCACTTACCGCTTGTTTACAGAGCAGCTTATTTTATCTTTAAGTCATCCCAAAGAAGAGGGCAGAACTCGTCGCTTCTGCTCAGGGCCGCCCAGGCTGTTGCTGCAGCCTCTGGTAGGTCCAGCCCGGTTCCCACATGGTGGTGCTTACGACGGGATTCAAGATAAAGGCTTGTTCAGCTGAGCCCCATCTAGAAGAGAAAACGTAGGAGAAACCACGTTGTGTATTTACACAGAAATGTTCTGCTCGAGCGTGCTGGAATTCCTCTTCTATTTATAGCAAAGCCCACCGGGGGAGGAGATACTCACGTGACGACAGATGATGCAGTGCTACGTCTTCCCCTTAACAGTGTCTGTCTTTTCTGACCGACTTCCCTACGGAGCCGCCGACACTACTCTTCCACCCTCTCCTCCCCCGCCTCGGGCCGGCGGCAGGAGCCACTCCCCCGCCCCGACAGTCCGAGAGGGGGTGGGAGACTCGCAAACCGGGGGTCAGGGAACCACCCCCAGCCTTCCGGAATCACCATCTGTTTATAAACTAATCGCCACCGTGTGTATGTTGAGGGGGATTACGATCCTGTAGGGGCAGGATTACCCCTCCTCAAATTTTAACCCCTGCCATGAAACCCTAGGGAAAGCCGGCAGGGGAAGAACTACCCCCTGAGGAGCTGTTGCCAGGACCAAAATGAAGCCCCACCCAACTGAGGCGGGAGTCACTGGGCTCCTGGAAAATCTCTCCATACCTCAGCGCTCAAGCGTTTGGGGCTGGATCTTGCTATTTCAAAAGAAAGTTATTAAATAATTCTGCCTCTAATAAAGAGGATGAAAAAATGAATTTGTTTGGAATCCTGTACTGCATCAATGCTGTGTTTTGCCCAGAAAAGTGTATCATGCCAGAAGAAATCTGAGGGGTTGTTAATAATTTGACTGTTCTCTCCTGTTTCTATCTTTATACTCCTGACCACTTCTAGTCTGAAAGTTTTCTATATGATGCTTCAGTGACGTCACAGTATGTTTTTAGCATTGTATCACAACAAGATGATTCTTTGATTGGAAAAGCAGCTCCTGCTTTCTGATGGCTGTCACTGGGAATGACCAGAGATGGATTCTGTTCTCAGTGGCAGTCTTCTACAGCCTATGTGTACACATAATAAAAATAACAGATTGAAAGCTGGGAAATTCTGTCTGTTCTTCAGGGGTTATTCCAGCCTTTACCCTGCTGAGATAATTTTCAGTTATTCTGGGCTGGGAACCAAAGTTCAGACCTCTGTAATTTTTCTTCCCTTGAGCTGAAAATACCTTAGTACTTTTCCCCCTCTCCCAAGAAGCTCCTTCAGGTCTTCACCCTTCACATCCTGCCCTTTACAAAACCAAGCTTCTTCGAAGTATATAGCTAAACTGTGTGCCTTCTAAAGTTATTTATTTAACTCTGCTATATCTTTTCCCATTAGCTGTCAGCTCTTCAGTCCCTACCCTTCAATTCACCTAGGTATCATAGGCACACAACTGATTTTAAAAAAAATCATTAAGGATATACAACAAAGGACTCAGAATTAGGATATATTAAAAGACTGATTTTGTGACTTCATGTCAGTCCCCCTGCTCATACGTTTCAGGACCTTCTTAAATTATGTAGTCCAGTATTATTTTGTTCTGGCCTTGCTTTATTTTTCAAGGCCTTGTCTTTGTTTAGGATACAGGATGGACTTTCAGGATGTACCAGATTTTTGCAGAGCAAGTCCCAACTATTCACCACAGAAGAGTGTAGGAAACCTTGAGGAAATGGATGGTATTCCTGCCTCTGTTCCAGATAGGTGTGTGTGCTGCAGCTGCAACTTTTGTGCATGAGTTCATGGGCATGAGCTTATTTCATACTAGCTAAGGTAGGGTATCAGTACCAGTCTAGCAGGGATCTCTGGGCAGGCTGAAGGGCACAGGAAGAAGAACACAAACATGCTGTGGGCAGGACTGAGCCATGGCCCAGAGACCGGCTCAAATTACTGGTGCACATCTGAAGTGAGCTAGACACATGCAGTGTTCATTCCTGTGGTGGTGCCATGTGGCAACTTAGAAGTCATTTGATTTTACAGCTGACTGCAAGTTAAGTGTTTGTCAATTTTCTCAGAGTCTTGCATGAGGCATCTAACTCTAGGAAGAGCTGGGTGTTCACAACTGCAGCCCAAAGTCCATAGGAGATACAGTTCACTCACAGTTTTATTCCCTTCTGTTAAAGGCAGTGTGTGTAAGAATTGTCTCTAAGGTAGCTGAATACACCTTTATCTGGAATAAACTCCACTATATTGGTCAAGAAATGTAATAATCTAACTTGCAGTGATGTAATTTCACTTCGGTTTCTTCTAGCAATTGTAGCTGTCCCACATCAGCAACAGAATGAAAGCTGGTGTTTGTTGTTATCTAAATATGTTGAGCTAAATTCAAGGATTCAATGGCAATTTGAATAATTAATATAGTGCAGAAAAAGTTTATTTCCTAGTTGTTTTCCAAATAATCTCTACAAGCAATAAGTTAGTAACTAATCTGCAACCCAGTGAATTTTTGGGCACAAATTACAAGGAAAAGATAAGGAATCACTGGATATAGTCTATTGCAAACAAATTATTTGACAACAATAAGAATCTTTCAAAATGCTTTTGAAATGATGACTACCAGGAAGTCAAATGAATTCTCCTGCAAACAAATGCAATGCATGTGACCAAAAAGTCAACAGATTTGCTCTTTCAGTTGAAAATCAGCACTCCTGAGACACAAATCTCTCCCCAAACCAAAGATAAAACCCCATAAACCTTTAAATGTAAAGCAATAACTAAAATAAATCTGAATAAAATGTAGTAATATTTTAGTTCCAGGAGAAAACATGTACCTCCTGAGCTGTTACTAAACTAAGAAAATAATGTTGCCTCTATCCCAGCTTGCAAAGTCAGAGAAAAATAAAGAGGAAAATTACAGGAAATGGAAGGGGAAACTGTTGAACATGGGAAAATCAAAACTAGAGAGAAGAAGGAATAAAGAGAATAGAAAGATGCAGCATCACAAAAGTGATTTCCCCATCAATCCAATAAGAAAGATGACTAATCAAGCTGCATGTAGGCAATGCACCATATCTATCATACACGTCTGGTCTTAGAACTAAAATGCAATAGAACTGTCACCCTTCATAATTACTTCGGGAGATAATGCATTTATAGAAATACAGATTGTCACAACATGCTTGTGGGTCCCTTCCAACTCAGAATATTCTGTGATTCTGGGATCCCTTCTCCACTTATCTTCAGGCTTTACTGCCCACCATCACAGTCTGATCCTAATCTTTATGTCATGCCATGAGTACTGCCCTGAGTTCCACACATGCCCAAATCTCTCCTACTGAGCTCCAAAACCTGTCTCAGCACTACTCTGTTTTGTACAGGTTCTCAGGTTCTCTCAGTTCCCTTGCCTAGGTGCTTGGGGCTGCCCCCAGTTGCTCTTCACTGCACTTACAGCTCCAGTTGAAGTAAGCACCAGTCCTTACATAGCTTTAGTCGTCAATCTGTGGTTGCATGATGTTTCTTCCAGAGACATTTTGCCAGGAGACAACTTGCTGAAGCCTGTCCCACGAGCTTTAAAAAATCTGGTTAGTGGTTGTAGTACATCTCACCAGAACCCACAGTGTTTGTCATGAGCTCACAGTGTACAACCCCCACCTGGTTTGAGGTCACTTTTTCAAGACTTGGTCAACCAAAGAACTGCTGAGACAACCAAAGAACCAGTCACGGCTGTGACTGCTTTCTCAGTCCCCAGGGCCTGCCTTTGCTGGGAATTGCAGAGGGCTTTCCCCTGCTCCAGGCTGTGCAGTGCTCCTCTACTCAATCTGGGAGACAGGACACCAGCAAACAAAACATGATGGCAGGAAATGTCATGGAGGTAACCCAGGCAGGCTGAGACAGCTTCCCTTTATTTTTACCCCAGTAAAATGCAATCTGGGGTGGTGAGCACATTAGGAAGTGCTGTTTGCCAACCAAAGTGAAGCCTTTAATGCATGTGTTTATGCATGAGCATCTACAAACCCATAAAGAAATACATTATCTAATAGGGACTAGGCATTCTTGTGCTTCATTAGGCATATGCAGAGGAACAAATAGGTCAAAGCACATCCACTGAAAAGCATTGCAAACAAAACAATGGAAAGGAAAAAGGAAAATTGTTTGAAAAATTACAGAAAATAGGAGCAGCTTGTGGTTTTCACCAGGTCAAGAGAAACATTAAACCTCAGGTTTCACTGCACCAATTGTTCTCTTGTTTCCATTTAATTTCAGTGTCATATGGAATTCAAGTTCTCTTCTTGTCTCTTCATTCTCCCAATGGATGTCAGTATACTGAGTGACTCCACCTCTATGTGTGTCCATGGGTAACCCAAACTAAAGCTTCATGGTGCTGAAAGCAGCAAAGCAGGCAAGAGCTGCTGCTTCCTCCCCTGCCAGGAGACAAACCTCTCAAGATCCAGTTCTCCTACCCATCTGCCTGGGACAGCAGTCTCCTCCCTGTAGCTTGCAGGTATGCAGTGGACTTCTGCTCCAAGAGAAGGTCAGCTGTGGCATCTGGCACAAGGGAAATTTTGGAAAAGGAGAGAAGTGCAGAGGTGCATGGGACAGTTGAGCAGCTGAGGGGGGTAGCACGGTACTGGGAGACTCTTACTTGCAGTCTGCTGCTAGGTCACAGCCCCAGTGCCAAATGCAGGGGGGCACTGAGCTCAGAGAAAACTAGAAGTCCTTGATCCCATGGATCTGGGTCCCTACCTACTTTGCCTGTGTGCTCAGATGACTGACATAAGCTGCTTCTGGAAGATGGAATCCTTGCTCTTTTATGATAGCTCTGTTAGGCCTACAGTACCATGCCAGGACCCACTCTCCTTGTCTCCTTTCCAAGGAAAGGCCTGCATGTAAGATGCCTTTGCCATTTAAAGCTCAGCTTAATGCCTGGTTTCTTTCTCTGTGCATTTTATGAAAATGTTTCCCTGTTTTTCCTGCTGGCTCCGCAGCCTCTGATTCTGGCCAAGTTTTTGTCCTATGTCCTGCTGGCTTCACCCATAAAACCAAGTCATTATTACAAATGCTCAGGCAGTTACTGCAGCTCTCAGATATATAACCTTTCCACTTCATACTTTGGGCCCACTTCTTTGGCCAGTGTTAACTGGCCTGGATTTCTTTACTGGTTTGCTGCCAAAGTTCTGGGAACAGGTGCACAGTTTTTCTGGCAGGTACTTT